GTCTCAAAAAAAAAAAAAAAAAAGAAAGTTCCCGAGTGATTTAATGATAGCAAATTTTGGGAGCCACTGCTTTGTAGTCTTCCAGATTACTAAAAATGTTAACATAATAGTTGGCATCCACTCTCAGCATGTAGGATTTGCTTCTCGCGGGCGCGGTGGCATCCAAGCCTGTAGACACCCAGCACTTTGGGAGCCGAGAACGGGCGGAGTTCACGAGGTCAGGAGATCGAGACCATCCCTGGCTACCACGGGTTGAACCCCGTCTCTACTAAAAAATACAAAAACTAGCCGGGCTGCTGGTGGCGCGGGCGTCTGCAATCCCCAGCTACCGGGAGGCTGAAGGGCCAGGAGAATGGCGTGAACCCGGGAGGCGGAGCTTGCGTGAGCTGAACGGCCACCTGCATCTCTCAGCCTGGCGGCAAGAGCCGAGACTCGTCTCAAAAAAAAAAAAAAAAAAAAAGAATTTGTGCTTCCCAAAGCTACCATTTACCTCTTTGGTATGTTTATGCTGTTAGATTGAGTTTTTCTTTTGGTTAAGAAATTTACAGCCGTGCGCCGCTTCGGTGGCTCGAAGCCTGTAACCCAACGCACTTTGGGAGCTGGACGGGCGGATCACCCGAGGTCAGGAGAGCACTGAGACCAATCCGTGGCTAAACACGGTAGAAACTCCGTCTTCCTACTAAAAAATACAAAAAATCTGAGCGGCGTGGCGAGTGGCGGGCCGCCTGTACGTCCCAGACTTGGGAGGCTGAGGCTGGAGAATGGCTAAGACCGGCAGGCGGAGCTTGCCATTGAGCTGAGATCCCGGACACTGCACCTCCAGCCTGTCCGGCGACCAGCCTAGACCTCCGTTATAAAATAAAAAAAAAAAAAAAAAAAAGAAATTTATCAGTAACTTCCGTCTCAAAAAAAAAAAAAAAAAAAGAAATTTACATTAATAGGTAGAAAAATCACAGAATGCTACAAAGTAATTGTTACAGGCAAGAGCCACTGATGGGTGCTTAGTGATTGAAAGATTGAAGAGAAACAGAATGTTTGCTGTCTGAAAGTATCTTTGATATTTTTAAGTTACAAAAGGAAAATAGCAACTTTATAATGACAAATGTGGCAAAAAACATTTCACTGATCATGGTTAAATAGGTAATAAGATATATTGACAGCATGTATTCCCCCCCATCACTGCCATTATATTCTTGCCAAAAATGCATAATCTTAATCATGAGAAAACACCAGACAAACCCAAATTAAGAGGCATTCTCAAAATAACTGTCCAGGCCGGGTGAGGTGGCTTACGCCTGTAATCCCTGCACTTTGGGAGGCCAAGCTGGGTGGATCATCTGAGGTCAAGAGTTGGAGACCACCTTGGCTAAGGTGGTGAAACCCTGTCTCTACTAAAAATACAAAAAAAAAAAAAAAATTAACTGGCCGTGGTCCCAGCTACTCAGGAGACTGAGGCGGGCCAATGGCATGAACCTGGGAGGCAGAGCTTGCAGTGAGCCAAGATGGCTCCACTGCATTCCAGCCTGGGTGACAGAATGAGACTCCGTCTAAAAAAACAAACAAACAAAAACCAACTGAGCAATACTCTTTAAAAGTGTCATGGTTGGCCGGGCCGGGCGCGGTGGCTCACTCCTATAATCCCAGCACTTTGGGAGGCCGAGGCAGGCGGATCACCTGAGGTCAGGAGTTCGAGACCAGCCTCGCCAACATGATGAAAACCCGTCTCTACTAAAAATACAAAAATTAGCTGGGCAAGGTGGCAGGCGCCTGTAATCCCAGCTACTCGGGAGTCTGAGGCGGAAGAGTCGCCTGAGCCCAGGAGGTGAAGGTTGTGCTGAGATCGCACCATTGCACTCCAGCCTGGGGGACAAGAGCGAGACTTTGTCTCAAAAAAAAAAAAAGAAAGTGTCATGGTCATAAAAAACAAGAAACAACCAAGGAAATGCCACAGATTGGGGGGAGTAAAGTATGTAGTTAATAATATACCAACGTTCATTTTTAAATTTTGATAATTATGGTAAGTAAGATGTTAACATCAGGAAACTGGGAGTAGGAGAACTCGACCATTTTTGCAATTTTCTGTAAGTCTAAAAGTATTTCAGAGTAAAAGGTTGACATTTTTCGTGAATGCTATGATGTTATATATTATTTTCTCTTTCTCTTTTCCCTGAATTTATACTTGAGGTTTGTCTATCAGCTAGATTCAGTATTGGTTCTCTTACCCTGGTGATGTGCATTTTAATTTCCATTTCCCCATGACTAATGATGGTGAGTCTATTTTTATGTGCCAATTGGCTATTTTTGTATTTTGTGGTCAGTTCTTTCAAGGATAAGTGTTTTTAAAGCTTTTAATACCTATTGCTTTCATAAAATTGTACTAATTTATTCTTATGCCAGCAGTACAGGTTGAGTATCTGTGATACTATGATATATGTATGTATGTTTTTGTCCATGGTTCCTAGCTCATAACTCCCCTAGCTTTCGTTATAATGTTGGAGCTCTTGAAGCAAGCCTCAGAAAACAGAATCTCTCTCTGACTTTCACCTGCCCAAAGCAGGACTCTCATCTTCCCCTGCCTTTCTGATTATGGGTCATAAGACTTTCATTTCAGAAGAGGTCCTACCCCATACCCTGGAGGAAGAAATGCTACCCAGAGAGGCCGGGAAGAATCTGAACAGACAGGCCTTGCTGAGTTTCCCCAGTCTATTAATATTAGATCATATATTTTTTCTCCAGTCACATTTCTACATGTGTGTCAGTCATGCCCATCTAATGAAGTCTCCATAAAAGGCCCAAGAGGAGAGGGTTCGAAGAGCTTCTGGACAGGAACAAAAGGAGGTTCCTGGAGAGTGGTGTTCCCAGGGAGGGCATACCTTGCCATGTGTATCTCTTCAACTGTATATCCTTTATAATAAACTAATAAATGTGATTCCCTGAGTTCTGTGAGCCACTCTGGCAAATTAACCGAACCCAAAGAGGGGCTCATGAGATTCCCAATTTATATCCAGTCAGTTAGAAGCACAGGTAATACAAACTGTGGCTTGTGATTGACATCAGAAGTAGGGAGCAGTCTTGTGGGACTGAGCCATCAACCTGTGAGATCTGACGCTTTCTCCAGGTAGGTAATGTCAGACTCGAATTGGAGGATACCCACTTGGTGTCTGCTGCAGAATTGATTGCTTGTTGGTGGGGAGAAATCCTCACACATTTGATCACAGAAGTCTACCTTGTTGATTGTTGTTGAGTGAAAGAATCTTAAAAACAAAAACTCTTTTTTCCACTCAGGGTATCCCTAATGTGAAATTTGAAGTGTTCCAAAATCCAAAACATTTTTTGCACCAACATAGCCAAAGGAAATATTTATTAGAGCTTTGTAGGTTTAGGATTTTTGGACTACGGATGCTTAACTGGTGATTATAATGCAAATATTGCAAAATTTGAAAAATGCAGTCTCAAGCACTTTGGATCCCAAGCATTTCAGATAAGGGATACTCAACCTGTATATTTAAATGCCTATTTCATTCTTGTTAGTTTCCATGCTCCCATGCTCATGGTAACTCATCAGTGAAAGAGTGGAATTACAGTTTTCCCTAGCATTTTGGATTAGGTGTTTTTCTAACTGTCCATAAAATGTTGTGTTACAGAAAAATGGCTACTGGACAGGATCGAGTGGTTGCTCTCGTGGACATGGACTGTTTTTTTGTTCAAGTGGAGCAGCGGCAAAATCCTCATTTGAGGAATAAACCTTGTGCAGTTGTACAGTACAAATCATGGAAGGGTGGTGGGTATGTATCATTGTTATTGTTACAACTATTCAACGGTAACACAGTGGCACTGTGGCAGGTCCTTTGTTGTGGTGGTGGTGGTGACAGGGTCTTTATTGTCCCGTCCAGAGTGCAGTGGCACCATCAGCTCACAGCAGCTTTTACCTGGGCTCAAGTGATCATCCCTCTTAAGCCTCCCAAGTAGTTAGAACTACAGGAGCGCCCCACTATGCCAAGCTGATTTTATTTTTTGAGGGTTGGGTAGAGATGGGGATTGGTTGGCGGGGCAGAGCTCGCTATATTGCCCAGGCAGGTCTTGAACTCCTGGCCTCAAGCAGTCCTTCTGCTTTGGCCTCCCAAAGTGCAGGAATTGCCAGCATGAGCCACTGTGCCTGGCCCTACTTTTGAGATTTCTGAACTGCTTTGTTTTGGATTGAATGATGGCATCTGTGGTCAAAAAGTTTCTGATATGTTTATAGATTACTTGTGTTAAATGTTACTTGTTTTTGCTTGTGATCATGTAATATATTTTCTGTTTCCTTTTTTTTCTAACCTTAGAATAATTGCAGTGAGTTATGAAGCTCGTGCATTTGGGGTCACTAGAAGTATGTGGGCAGATGATGCTAAGAAGTTATGTCCAGATCTTCTACTGGCACAAGTTCGTGAGTCCCGTGGGAAAGCTAACCTCACCAAGTAAGAAAAAAACATTATTTAAGGAGACATAAAGGAGTCGAAAATAATACTCCATGAGTCTAGGAACTGGTGTTTTGAATTTGTTCCATGTAAATAACATCTGAAAAAATTCTTTTTGGTCAGCCATCTTGTCTCTGTGAAATGAAAAACAGATTTTAATACTGTGTTTTGGGGACAGTTCAAAACCATTATAACACATAAGAGTTGCTGCCTTTCATGTCTATTCAGTTCCTTGATTGTTCAAAATTGGTTGTTAAATTGAGACTTAATACCAATTCCCATGTTCTCCATCCAAAAATCTAAAGTATTTGAAGTAATTAAATTGACTGTGAAACATAATTTTTCCAGGAAAGGCTGAGTCAAACTGACATTCTAGTACAATATCAGGAATTAGTTGCTATAATTGAACAATATCAAGGGAGATTTCTTTGTTTTTAGATTAAGCTATCTCTCTGCAAATACTAGAAGTTTCGCCTTGGATTGGGGGATATGTATCAGCATAGCTAAGTCAGAGGTAGGCACAAACCCCAGCCTTTAATCCTAGCAGCTAATATGTATTGAACCTATTATCACATGCCACGCACAGTGTTAAGCTCTCTGTAGGCAATATCTCTATTAAATCTGACATCGTTATAAGGTAGGTACTAATATTACTCCCCCTTCACAGATAAGGAATCAAGTTCAGGGAAGTTAAATAATTTAAGTTAGGCTGGGGGTGGTAGCTCACGCCTATAATCCTAGCATTTAGGGAGGCTGACGTGGGCAGATCACTTGAGTCCAGGAGACCACCCTGGGCAACATGGGGAAACCCTGTCTGTAACAGAAAATACAAAAATTCGCTAGGCATGTTGGTATACACCTGCAGTCCCGGCTACTTGGGAAGCTGACGTGAGAGGATTGCTTGAGCCTGGGAGGCAGAGGTTGCAGTGGGCCCGTATCGCACCACTGCACTCCAGTCTGGGTGACAGAGTCAGACCCTGTCTCAAGAAAGAAAAAAGTTCAGACAGCTAAGTGAAAGACTGAGGATTCACATGTGTTTTTTAAGATTCTAATATCTATCTTCTCAAGATACACTGTGCTATGTGGTGTGGTATAGGAATCATGCTGTAACTCAGGACCTGAGATACTTCTGAATTCTAATTCTGTGAATTAGAAGTCTAAAGGTAGAGTAGCATAGCCAGACCCACATTGGAATTATTGCTAGAAAAGAAGATAGACTTGACTGAAGATTAAGTTTTCCAGATACTCTTAAAAATGCCTTGCAGTGATTTGCTCAAGAGGCTGTGAGGAAGCACTGAAATCAAGTATTGTTTTGGAAAAACTCAAAACTATGGTTTTCCTCTCCTCTTACACCACAAGAACGATCAACACAGAAGACATCTATGACTAAAGGTGTGGAAGTATTTCCCCACACACCAATCAGCAGACACCAGCTGTATGTCCTCCCAGTCAATTCCAACACTGTCTACCTGGAGATGGCTTCAGATTCCACATGCTGAGGGCTCAGTACCACAAGAACACCCCCTCCTTCCTTTCCATCACAAGTCCAGGCTTTTAGAACGTCTGAACAGCTGGCTTTAAGTTGGGGTTCCTACAATCCCTTTTTTGGATTAATTTGCTGAAGTGACTCACAGAACTCAGGAGAACACTTACTTATGTTTATTGGTTTATTATAAAGGATATTATGAAGGATACAGTTAGGTTGGGCATGGTGGCTCACACCTGTAATCCGAGCACTTTGGGAGGCTGAGACAGGAGGATTGCTTGAGCTCAGGAGTTCGAGACCAGCCTGGGCAATATAGTAAGACCTCGTCTCTACCAAAATTAAAAAAAAAAAAAAAAGAAACACACACAAAATTAGCCAGACATGGTATCATGCAGCTCTAGTTCCAGCTACTCGGGAAGCTGAGGTGGGAGGATCACTTGAGCCCAGGAGATTGTGGTTGCAGAGAGTCATGATCAAACCGCTGCATCCAGCCTGGACAGCAATGAGATCCTGTCAAAAAAAACATGAAGATGAAGAGATATATAGAGCAAGGCATGTGAGATGGAGTGTGGAGCTTTCATGCCCTTCCTGAATGAGTCACCCTCCAGGAATCTCTACCGTTACAGCTGTTTGGAACCTCTCTGGACCCTGTCCTCTTGGGTTTTTAGGGAGGCTGCATTATGTACTCATGACTGATTAAACCGTTGGCCATAGGTGATCAACTTGACCTGCAGACCTCTCCTCCTCTCCCCTCCCCAGAAGTTGAGGGGGTGGGGCCAAAGGTTCCAACCCTTCTGAAGCTATTATTCAACATTAGCATACAAAAAGACAAAACTTGGGTGATTCCAAGGATTTCTGGAGTTGTATGCCAGGAAACTGAGATGAAGACCCAATATATATTTCACAATATTGCAAGTATCCTTTTCTGGCTTTGTACGTGAGCATATTGCTCTTTCTTTTTTCTTTTCTTTTTGTTTTTTGTGAGTGGGGGATGGAGTTTCACTCTTGTTGCCCAGGCTAGGGTCCAATGGTGTGATCTCGGCTCACTGCAACCTCCGCCTCTTGGGTTCAAGTGATTCTCCTGCCTCAGCCTCCCGAATATCTGGGATTACAGTCATGTGCCACCATGCCAGCTAATTTTGTATTTTTAGTAGAAACGGGGTTTCTCCATGTTGGTCAGGCTGGTCTTGAACTCCTGACCTCAGGTGATCCACCCACCTCTGCCTTCCAAAGTGCTGGGATTACAGGTGTGAGCCGCCGTGCCTGGTCTTGCTCTTTATTTTCTTTGAGGCCTTTCTTCTTCCTGGCTCAAATAATGATTTAAAAAAAAAAAAAAAGTCAAGTGTTTCTCTAATTTGAGAATGTTTTAGAACAATGATTATACTAGTTTTTATGGGTGTCATGGTGAAGAGGTACCAGTGTTTTCAGTTTTATGGTAAATGTAAATTCAATAGGAACAAAGAACTGGACACTACAAAGCACGTCCAAACCAAAGCAAAGAAAATATCTGTATAGTGGCCGGGTGCGGTGGCTCATGCCTGTAATCCCAGCACTTTGGGAGGCCAAGATGGGAGGATCACCTGAGGTCAGGAATTCGAGATCAGCCTGGCCAACATGGTGAAACCCCATCTCTACTAAAAATATTAAAAAATTAGCCGGGCATGGTGGCAGGCGCCTGTAATCCCAGCTACTTGGGAGGCTGAGGCAGGAGAATCGCTTGAACCCAGGAGGCGGAGGTTGCAGTGAGGCCAGATCCTGCTATTGCACTCCAGCATGGGGAACAAGAGCGAGACTTCATCTCAAAAAAAAAAAAGAAAAGAACAAAATATCTGTATATTGTCGCAGAAAACTAGCTATACAGGCAGAAGAGCTGCTTATTAAAGTTTGAATAGAAGACATATGGTGAGATTGGTATGTATACCTTGAGGACGGTTGTCTGCCCACCCAGACATATCACCACATTCTAGGTGCTTATCTTCAGTTTGATAATTTGAATATTAGTATATCCATAAATGGTTGGTTAAGGCATGTGTGTGTATGTGGTGATGACCAGTTTACATGTTAACCAAACTCACCGTTGACTGAAGTATAAAATCCATATGCCAGTTTGTTAATTTATGGTGAGAAATATTATCCTGGGGAAGACCATATGCTCTGGTTCACTAATCAGTGCAGTGTTCCATGTAAATCTGTAAATCACCCTTTTTTTTTTTTTTTTTTTGAGACAAAATTAGAAGCAGAAGATTTCTTGGTGGATATATGAAAATAAAAAGAATAGGTGATCACAGTAATACACAAATGTGAGGCATTTCTTTATTTTTTATAGAGTTCCTTGTCATATAGATGTGTTCATAGTTTGAATGCTTTCTACCTTGGTAGTTCTGGCATTGTGCTAAAAATATTTGCCTCTGTGGTTCTTCCTTTTCCATGCTTCTATTATTGACCATCTGCCTGCCTGTTGACCCTTTCAGTTACTACTTTCTAGTCTCTGTTAAGCCACATGTCTCTTGATTATGTGTATTATTGTTCATTATGGCAGGGTGGGAGTGGAGCAGACAATCTCAAGGTTGCCTCTGTTTATTGCCTGCATGAATGATCCTTACACTTCTTAGGTACCGGGAAGCCAGTGTTGAAGTGATGGAGATAATGTCGCGTTTTGCTGTGATTGAACGTGCCAGCATTGATGAGGCTTACATAGATCTGACCAGTGCTGTACAAGAGAGACTACAAAAGCTACAAGGTCAGCCTATCTCAGCAGACTTGTTGCCAAGCACTTACATTGAAGGGTTGCCCCAAGGCCCTACAACAGCAGAAGAGACTGTTCAGAAAGGTACTTCCATAACATCATATTGCTTCTGCTTCCTGCCTTTGGAACCTGCTTTGCTTGGTCATGCTGATTCTCCATGGAATAATTGAAAGGAAACTTAAACTACAGCCTGAATGAATCACAAGGACTCACATGGAAGCATATACAAATTTTCTTATCTTTCCAGGTATATGGCTGTTGAGAAGCTGTGAAATCTGTATGAAAGTAAATTTCTCTTTTAGATATAACTAGGGCAGGTTAGTGTTATCAGTAGAAGGCAGAGGCCTGGCGCGGTGGTTCACGCCTGTAACCCCAGCACTTTGGGAGGCTGAAGTGGGTGGATCATGAGGTCAGGAGTTCAAGACCAACCTGGCAGCATGGTGAAACCCCATCTCTACTAAAATGCAAAAATTAGCTGGGCATGGTGGTGGGTGCCTGTAATCTGCTACTCAGGAGGCTGAGGCAGGAGAATTGCTTGAACCAGGATCCAGGAGGCAGAGGTTATGGTGAGCTGAGATCTCACCACTGCACTCCAGCCTAGGCTACAGAGAGAGACTCCATCTCAAAAAACAAAAAAATCAATAGAAGGCTGACTGAGCACTTTGTCATTGGTGGCTTAATTTTTATTATTGTAACTTAGTGTCTTGGTTAACTAATATATAAAAAGGGTGAGCTTTTTAAAGGGGGACCTCAGGTATAGGGAGTTGAGTGATTCAAAATTTCTACTCACTTCTTAGCACATTATTACATGGGCTGCACAAGGCCCTTCTCATTGTATTTTGCTACTTTTACCCTTCATAGTGATTTTCCCACTCCCTCTGTACCCCACTCACCCTCTTGTACCCACTGATATACTTGATATATCTTAGATGTGTATATATCTCTTCTCTTCTCTTCTCTATTTTGAGATGGAACGTCACTCTCGCCCTGGCTGGAGTGCAGTGGCACGATCTCAGCTCACTGCAACCTCCGCCTGCACGGTTCAAGCAGTTCTCCTGCCTCAGCCTCCGGAGTATTTGGGATTACAGGCATGTACCGCCAAGCCCGGCTAATTTTTGTATTTTTCATAGAGACGGGGTTTCATCATGTTGACCAGGCAGATCTCGAACTCCTGACCTCAAATGATCCACCTGCCTCGGCCTCCCAAAGTGCTGGGATTACAGGCGTAAGCCACCGCACCCGGCCTATATCTTTATAAGTTACCCAGTATTGCTTTGTATATGTGCTTTTTAATTACAAGATGATTTTGTGCTATTAATAGATCTCATTCTTTTTCTTAATTTTCCTTCAGTAGTGACCTTAGAGATCTCTCCATGTGGCTGTATTTATTTGTAATTGATGGCTTCGATGGCTGTTACTTGCAGCATAATCCATGATATGGATCCACCATGTTTACAGACCATTTTCCCTGGTGACGAATTCACTGATTGCTTCTAATGTCCTGCTGTAACAGTTTACATCCCCCCTAGGAGTACATAAAAGTTCCTGTTTCCCCCATATTCTCAACAGCTCATATCATCTAATGTTTAAAAATAGGCCGGGCGCGGTGGCTCAAGCCTGTAATCCCAGCACTTTGGGAGGCCGAGACGGGCGGATCATGAGGTCAGGAGATCGGTGAGCTGAGATCTCACCACTGCACTCCAGCCTTCCGTTTTAAACAAAAAAAAAAAAAAATTTGCTGGCGCAGGCGCAGTGCGCTCATGCCTGTAATCCCCAGCACTTTGGGAGGCTGAGGCAGGCTGAATCACGAGGTAAGGAGATTGAGACATCATCTGGCTAACATGTGAAAACCCCGTCGTCCTACTAAAAATACAAAAAAATTAGCCTGGTGTGGTGGTGGCGGCCCCGTAGTCCCAGCTACTTGGGGAGCTGAGGCAGGAGAGGGCATGAACCAGGACGGAGCTTGCAGTGAGCTGAGATCGCGCCACTGCACTTCCAGCCTGGACAGATAGAGCCGAACTCTGTCTCAAAGATAAATAAATAAATAATAAATAATTGCCAATATAATGTTTGTTGTTTTGCTTTAATTTACATTCTTTTTTTTTTTTTTTTGAGGCGCGGAGTCTCGCTCTGCCGCCCAGGTTGAGTGCCGTGCCGGATCTCAGCTCACTGCAAGCTCGCCCTCTGGGTTCACGCCATTCTCCCGCCTCAGCCTCCCGGAGGCTGGGACTACAGGCGCCCGCCACTCGCCGGCTAGTTTTTTGTATTTTTAGTAGAGACGGGTTTCACCGTGGTTAGCCAGGATGGTCTCGATCTCCTGACCTCGTGATCCGCCCGTCTCAGCCTCCCAAAGTGCTGGGATTACAGGCTTGAGCCACCGCGCGCCCGGCCTAATTTACATTTCTGTGATTACTAATTGAGATTGAAGATCTTTTTCATACACTTGTAAGCCAGCTGAGTTTCTGCTTCTGTGATTTACGTTTTTATAATCTTTGGCCATT